TTGCGACCCCACAGACTGCAGCATACCAGCCTGCCCTGTCCTTCACTGTTCCCCAGAGTTTGCTCAAATTCATGTCTATTGAGTCGATGATGCCATCCAACCATCTCGTCCTGTGTCATCTTGCTTTCATCATCTCTCATCATCTTGCTCCAAGAGACAATCTCTATTAATTCTTTCTTGCTTGAGTTGCCAGAAAGATGCTTCCACAATCTAGACACAGGGAGTTGAGACAGCTTGGATATTGGTGTGGGCACTTGGGGCTGTCACCATGAGGGGGAGGGGGCACTATTGGCATTGAGTGGGTCCAGGATGGGCCTTGGACAATGAAGACATGTCCCCATTTCTTGATTGATTTGCTAATGTCCTCTGGACATTTCTGTAGATTAAAAATCTGCTTCTAATTATCAGTAACTAAGAAATAAGTCCATGTGACATATAAACACAATATATTTGGGGGTGGTTTTAAGAAACATAGATTTTTTTCAGGACTACAATTGCCATGTCAGTTGAGGGGAAAATGTGCTTTGTCTCGTTTAAAACCTTACCAAGTTGTTCACCTTTTTGGAACATCAGGGCACTGATGGCAGGACTGCCCTTGGCATTTGAAGGACCAACACACTACATCTCAGTAGGGTTAGCGTCTTAGCTGTCCCAGTCATGGCGATTCTGCAGCTCAGCTGCCCATCAGATGACTTTGTTGCATCTTCCGGTGCCTGAATATTTACACACTGAAAAAATACAATTCATTTTAAATTACTTCTTTATATTGCAGTTGAGGTGTTATATTGATATTTTGTTTCATTTGGATTTCATTCGTAGAGTGCCAAAGGGACAGTATAAATGTTTGTTTATAAGTGACATCAGATCTGATGGGCTTGGAAACAAGTGGCTCTGATCTTGATAATATGTTTCTCTCTTTCTTGATTTATCAACTTTTGACAATATCTGCTGATTCCTTGACATGAATGATGAGCCTCTACGTTACTTACGTCATCCGCCCTCACAAATCTCTATTTGGTTTTTCATCTAAGTTTGACTGTATCTTCTGATTCCTGCTTGAGCAGCTGAGGACATCAGTAGTGCTGCTTTTTCATTCATATTCTCCCATGTCCCCCTGTGTATCAGCTGTTTTCATTGGCATAGTCAAACATTGTCAAAGTTTACTAATATTTTCATTTAGTTCTGCAAACAGAACTCAGTCTTTTTTCTTTTTTGCTTTGTCATAAGGTGACTATAAAAATCAAAAACCAATTCATGGGCTCTCCATTAGTTTGAGAAATCAGTCGGCATGCAGGATCTCAGTTCCCCCATCAGGGATTGAACCCGTGCCCCCTGCAGTGGAAGCATGGAGTCCTAACCACTGGACTGCCAGGGAAGTCCCCAAAAAGCGGTCATCTTTCTGAGTGACAGGATAAAAGGTTATACAGGCTAGAAATTATGCCTGATGTGCTGAGAAAGTAACTAGAGAAGCAAGAAGCTGAGAGGAGATTTTAAAAATCAAACATAAAGCAGGATTCTTGCCTATTAAGACTTTTGCTAGAGAGATAAGCCTCGTGAGTAATTATGGAACAGTAAGCAATGATATGCACACATGTGGTTAAATGCCCCCCAAAAGATCAGGGCTGACAAAATGTGTCCTTATAGTTTATAATTAGTTGTACTCCTAGATGAGGCAATGAAGGTCAGTAAGATCTCAAATTGTATAAAATCCATTGGAAATACTATTTCATTAATGGTCTAAAATTAAATTATTAGGAGAGTATCTCTACTGTGGAATAAGGTACAACTATATACTCCTCCCCACCCCCCCCCACTATGAAAGTAATCTTGCTCTTTGTAGAAATCTGGGAAAACACAAAAGGGTATTAAAAAAACAACAACTAAAAACTCTATTAATCCTTAGAGATAAACCCTGTCAATATTTTGGTGTACATTCAGTTCAGTTCAGTTCAGTCACTCAGTCATGTCCGACTCTTTGTGACCCCATGAACCACAGCACGCCAGGCCTCCCTGTCCATCACCAACTCCCAGAGTCCACCCAAACTCATGTCCATTGAGTCAGTGATGCCATCCAACCATCCCATCCTCTATCGTCCCCTTCTCCTCCTGCCCTCAATCTTTGCCAGCATCAAGGTCCTTTCAAATGAGTCAGTTCTTCACATCAGGTGGAGTTTCAGCTTCAGCATCAGTCCTTCCTACGAATATTCAGGACTAATATATTGATACATTAGTAAGGGTAAAGCCACTGCTAAAACTAATAAGCCCCCCAACACAATGTTCAGCAGTTTCTTTCTGGTTCACATCAAAGTCAGTTCCAGGCTGTCAGTATGTTGGGTAGGAGTGAGCCTCTGCTCCACAGAGTCATTCAGTCACCCAGGCTGGCAGGGGCAATTCCATCTTCAACATGTGGTTTCATAAGGCATGCTGGGTGTCAATGTCACATTCCAGCTGAGAGGAGGGGAAAGCGCCAAGAAGCACATGATGTGCTGGAGAATCTGCCCGGGATGCCTGGAAGTGGTGGACGTCACTTCTGACCTCATTGGCTAGAACTCAACATGTAGTCCCACCTAACTGCTAAGAAGTCTGGGAAATGTGGTTCAGCTGTGTGGCCAGGTAGCCGAGAGATGTTTGGTGAATAACAGTCTCTACCATAGTGTATTTTCTCTCAGCCTTTCTTTCCCAGTACATATATATGTGTATGACTAGGATTATATTGTACATTTAGCTTTTTATTCTGCTTTAAAAATAACAAAAGTCTCTGAGCACTTTCCCACCTAATTCTTTGCAAACATGGCTGTGTGTTATCTGGTCATATAGAGCAGGGTTTCTCAACCTCAGCACTAATTTTTTGGAAATCTGTATTGGAGTACAGTTGATTTACAATGTGTTAGTTTCAGGTGTATAGCACAGTGATTCAGTTATACACACATCCACTCTTTTTTAGATTCTTTTCCCATATAGGTCATTACAGATAATATTGAGTAGTGTTCCCTGTGTTGTACAGTAGGTTCTTATTAGTTATCTATTTTGTACACAGTATTGTGGATATGTCACTATGTTTTGACATTTGGGGCTGGATCTTTCTTTCAAGTGGTGAGGCCTGTCCTGAGCACTGTAGGATGTTAGCAGCCTCCCTGGCCTCCATCCACTAGATACCAGTAGCACTCCCTCCCCAGCTACGACAACTAAAACTGTCTGCACATGTTGCCAGATGTCTCTTGGGGGACAAAGTCATCCACAGATGAGAACCACGGTGCTAGATCAACAGTAATTTATGCAACCACGTCCCTTTTATCAAACAGTTGTTGCTTCCTTTATTGTTTTTATTGTTTGATGTGCTGTTACATCTTGCTCTGTGTTAACTATCTTTTTACATTAATTTTGACTGAAACAGTCATGAGTTACTTAGGAGAGAGAGTCCCAGCAGCAGATTATTAGGCCAGAGGCTATGAATAGTTTTAACTCTCTTGATACATCCTGCCAAATATCTTTCCAGAAAGGATATACCAGTTTACTCTTCCACTGGCAACACAGTCTTGCTTTATTTTTAAAGGTTTTAGTTATATGAGAAAAATGGTTTATTATTTTAAAAGAACATTTCTTAGACTAATAGTCAAATGTGCATATTAGCTATCTTGTACACCCTGTCAGTAGCAGCCTTGCTAATTTCCCAGCTGCTGTTTTGTTTTTCTTAAGGGTTTTAGGGACAATTGCTTGTTGAAATCAGTCCATGACATTTCCAAAGTGAGTAAAAGTTTCTATTAAAATGTGGTTTTCCTTTGACATTGTGTGCACAATGGCTATAACTTGGTTTTTAATCACAGCATCCCATTGTGACTGGCTCCAATATTTAGACAGCTGTTATTTCTTTTCTTTGGTTAAAAAAAAAGTCCAAGACTTCTAGGGAATGACAGAAAGTGAACCAAAGGGTTTACTTTCATCTCAGTGCATACAGCCTTAGAGTTCTTGCTTCCAGAGTGGCTGAATGAGGTCATATCTTGCCAAAATACTATTTCAGACTGTGTGCCCAAGTCCCGTTCTGTTGTGTTCCTTGTCTCCTAGGAGCCTCCCAAGATGTAGGAACCAACCAAGCCAGATGCTCTTCCCTAAATCAGGTCTTAAACCAACTGCTTGTTGCCCTTATCGCTTTGCAGGGGATCCCAGTTATTGTCAACTGCAGTTGGATTCCTGCATGCACGTGCTTTCAGGACTGGTTGAAATGGATTACATTCCTGTAACAGGACAAAAAGTTAAACCTATGAGCTCCCTGCCGTTTTATTACTGCATGAAGATTGGTTAGGCATGACTGTTCCCATGGGACTGTGAAAATCAGCCAGTGATCTGCCTAGCACAAATCTCTGTCCTTTTGGGCAAAATATTATTAGGCTTTCTAGAGCTTTGCCTTGATAAAATCTTTCCTAATCCAATAAATTCAATAGATGAAATGTTTGTTTCCTCCACTCTTTCTCAGTCCTAAAGCCTCTTTCTTCAGGCTTAAATGTCCCTTAAGTGGACTATCTACTGTTACTGTTTATGTAACCCTCTGTTCAAGTAACACGATGTATTTTCAAAACAATGAAAAAACACAACATAAACTATCAGGGGGGAAGGTTAGGCTCAGAAATATCTCACAAAGCATTAGCCAGGGGAAAACTGCGGGGATCTCAGAGCTTTGCTAATACCTTTGGAGACAGGAGAATTCTTCTCTAAGGAGACAGAAGGAATTTAAGATCTGGACACTGTTAAACCATTAATTCCTTTACAAGCTCAAGCAGGAGGCCTGAGCACCAGGAGAGGCCGTGTCTGGGGAGGGTGGGCAAAGCCTTCTGGAGCTTTCCAGGGTGGGCTTCCAGGGATCGGGCGGTTTACGGACACCCCCAAATCGGTCACCACTCATGGGAGAGTGCCGTCTGTGCCCTTGTAGGTCATTTGTTATCCACAAGTCAGTCAGTGTGGCAACCTTGGCCGCACATTGGAACCAGCTGGGGAGATTTTGAGGCATGGAGGCCTCGGTCCCATCCGCTGAGGCCCAGAAGAAATCGAGTTTCAAAAGCTCGCCAGGTGATTCTACTGTGCAATCAGGGTGGAGACCCACGGGACGAACTAGCTCCCGCCGCCCCGACGTGAGCCAAAGGTTCCAGGACTCTGGGCTGGAGCGAGGCCGTCAAACACCGGGGCGCTCCTCGAGCAGCCTCTCGGGCCTCAGTTTCTTTATCTGCACAATGGGTGACGGCCAGGACTGCCAAGGCCCCTCCAGCTGGAAGAGTTCTCTTCTGGGACGCGGATCTGCGCCTCCGAGATCCTCTAAGCCCGCTCCCCTCGGCCCCCATCCCCCGTCCCCGCTGGCTTTTCCGGTTTCCTCGCCCCTCGGAGCTCGCCCGGGGGTCCCAGAGGACGCTGCGCGCTTCGCCGCCACCCCGGCGCGCGCGCTGCCCGGCTGGGGCCCCGGCTGCGGGCGCACAAAGCCCCCGGCGCTGACGTCAGGGCCCCCTCTCGGCGCGGCCGGCCCCCAGTGCAGGCGGAGCCGCGCCGCGCTCCCACCCCGGCCGGGAGTGATCACCAGCCGCCAGCCCCGCAGCCCAACGCCGCCCGTCCGCCCGCGCACGTGCCCGCCGGACCTGCAAACTTGTGCCGCCGGCTGTGTCCGTCCCCCGGGAGCCCGAGCGCCCGCAGCCCGCACCTCCCGCCCATCTCCAGCCATGGGTAAGACGACGCGCTGGCCCCTCGCCCCGGCCACAGCCTCGCGCCCCCGCTCCCGCTCAGGTGGGGCCTCCTGGGGGCACCTCCCTGACCCGGGCCGGTTTGGGGGAGGCTGGAGGTGGGAGGGGCGCGGCGCAGGTGTCCCGAACGCCCAGGTGCGCGTCCCCGCCCCATCCCGGGGGCGTCCCCACTCCGGCTGCGCCCCCCACCCCGGGCGTGCGACTCGCCGGAGGGGACGGGCGGGACCCCCCCGGAGGGGAGCACGAGGGGGCGGACGGAGCGTCCCGGTCTGCGGGCTCCTGCTGTAATTTTCAGGGGGTGGGAGACAGTAGCTTCTGGTCCTTTCCCCGGGACGCTTTCCAGTCGCCCGAGCTCCCGGCTCCGAGTCTGATCCGGTCCCACCCTGCCGGGGTCTTGTTCGCCTTAAGCCCACCTGAAATCGACGCCCAGTTCCCCAAGCCTGGGGTCTCCGTGAGCTTTTTTGGGAACCGTGAGCCTTGAAACCAGGAAGGTGGAAGGGGAGAGGGACGGGACGGAGGGCGAGGCTCTTTGTCCCCCGTTTCCACTATCAGAAGGCGAACCTGGGGCGCAGGTGGAGCCGATGTGCCCCGCGGGGTCCGAGGCAGTTGGAGAATCGACTAGTCGGGGTGAAAAAAAGCCGAGCTCTGGAGATTACAAAATCTCCCACCTGGCCAGGGGCGGAGAGCAGGAAGCTGTAGGATTGTGTCTCACCTCCTGACATCTCCGAAATCCTGCAACATGTTTTACACGGGGACGCTGTATCTCTCGGAAAACTCGTTTAAGAGTGCGGTGGAAATCAACCTCGTTCCGCTGCACCCCCGAAAAATGTGCCTGGGAAAGGGTTTCCCCTGCCTGCTCTGTTATCCTTCTCTCCTGGCAGACAGGCTCCAGCCGCAAAAGCCACAAAGACTGTCACAGGAGCCCCTCGGAATCCGCATTCCAATAAGGGAGTCAGTATGTTTAACCCTTGCGGCCCCTGGGGAGAGCTTGGGCATTCCCTACCGGGCCCCAGCCCCGGCCCCCAACCCCGTCCTGCAGTCCCCTTGCTGTTGATGGTGTGGGTGATAATTTTGTACCGAGCAAACGTTTGGTGAGGGTTTGTAAGGAGGGCACATGATTTTGCGTTTAAAAGGAAGCTCAAAGAATTTTAGAGTTAAACCTTTTTTTTTTTTCTTTTTTGGTTTGTTTTATAAATTTACTAGGTGATCAAAATCTGAAAGGAAATATGGTCCATGAATCCACCAGGACAATTTCTTGCTAAAAAGTTAGGGGTGAGTTAGGATAAGATCCTTCTACAAAAGGGCAGAATTTCATGACCTGTATCTCACGTTTCTACTTGTTGTTCAGTTGCTCAGTCGTGTACAACTCTCTGTGACCCCATGGACTGCAGCACGCCAGGCTTCCCTGTCCCAGTTCACCATCTGCCAGAGTTGGCTCAAACTCACGTTCACTGAGTTGGTGATGCCATCCACCCATCTCATCCTCTGTCGTCCCCTTCTCCTCCTGCCCTCAATGTTTCCCAACATCAAAAGTTCCTACTAGTCATGTCCTGTGACTATCAATATTTCAGCATTGCTTGGCTCAAAGACGTTGAAGTTGCACAAAAGTGTTGGCTTGAGGAAGGCATTAACAATAATTTTCCTGAAATAAAGTTATTTCTGGTGTTTTTTTTTTTTTTTGACTAGGCATTCGGATTTGTTCCGGTTAGAAATTGAGCCTCGAATTACCACCTGGGGACCTTCTTGGGAATGGCTTTCACAATGCCCAGGGCCTAATTGGGGGCGGGCTTTACTTTTAGGTAGGTGTGGAAGTTCCCTGAGATTCTCGTGAAGCAAATGCCCAAACCAGAGGCCTGTTCTCAAGGAAGTACTTTGTGTCGTGGACTATTGTTGCTTCTACACTTCAATTGCCAATTTATGTTAATTTGTGCATACCTCACTGGTTCTGGCAGTTTCCTTGGTTTTAGTTTTTAGCTTTTACATTAAAAAAGAAAAAAAAAGTCCCCCTCAGGCCAGAAAGGAAACATACTGATTTCCTTTAGTAGATTCTTAGTAAATACACCACAAGGCCGTGAGCTGGTTTTATTTTTCCAGATGTATTTAATTACTGAATGTACCCCAATGAATGTTTTAATTGAAGTGATTTAATGCTGGGAAAACTCTGACCATTTGTCCATTGGCTGGAACTTTGATTCTTATATAAGTCACTTCCTTAATGTGGTATCAGTTAATTTACTGGTAAACTGGGTAAGGTTTGTGGAAATAAAAGTTCCTCTGCACTCAAATTTTAAGCTATTCAAAATTCTTTATGTTGACAAAGAAAATAATGAGCAATGTGCGTACAGCTTTATCTTTCAATGCATCTTAAAAGAAAGCATGCTTTTCGAAAATTGTTGAGCCAATTGACTTTTTAATAGCTTTGTTGATAGCATTCACATACCATGTAATTCACACATTTAAGTGCACAAAATCAGTGAGTTTTAGTATATTCAAAGTTGTACAACCACCACCACTAGCTAACATTGTCATCACCCCCAAAAGAAACCCTGTACCCATTAGAAGTACCTCCCCATGCTCCTAGCAAACAAGGATCTACTTTCTGTCTCTATAGATTTGCCTATTCTGGACATTTCATGTAAATGCATTGAGCCAATTGATGTTTGACGTGTGTTTGACTATTCAGTACCTTGGATTCTTTTGCACAATGGGAAGATGTCATGATGTACTGTTTGTATGTAGTATACCACCTAAATGAGTCAGTTGAAATTATTTCACTGGCTGAAGAGTTCCACACTTGGCCATTGTGTAACTCTGGTTTTCTCAGATAGGAACTCAGGTTGCCTAACAGAATTTTGAACCTGTTACTTTCTTTACAGACCCTAAGACATAGCAACTAAGTGGATTCCCCGCAATAATCTCTTATGAGGCTTTTGTGGACTATCCACCCAGAGTGAATATGGATCATGTATGCAGAGAGAGGGCCTCCCAGGTGGTGCTAGTGATAAAGAATCTGCCTGTGATGCAGGAGACGCGGGTTCGATCCCTGCATCGGGAAGATCCCTGGGAGGAGAAAATGGTAATTCACTCCAGTATTCTTGCCTGGAGAATCCCATGGACCGAGGAGACTGGTGGGTTGCAAAGAGTCAGACACAACTATGACTTAGCATGCACACATCCGAGGAAAAGTGCCAATTTTGTTTCGTTCAGTTCAGTTGCTCAGTCGTGTCCGACTCTTTGCGACCCCATGAACCACAGCATGCCAGGCCTCCCTATCCGTCACCAACTCCCGGCGTCCACCCAAACCCATGTCCATTGAGTCGGTGATGCCAGTGATGCCATTGTTTCATTAGTTGCCTGTAGTTTTAAATGAAAGTTATATGTGAAATGATCAGATATAGCAAAACAGCGTAGTAGTTGTTCGGATCTGTTTTTGTGATAAGGAAGTTTTTATGAGGATTATGAATTTAAACACAGTCAATCATTTCACTAAACAGCATTAAAAACATGGGTTGAGAGCTGTTCTTTAATGTGCATGCAAGTCATCTGGTGATCTTGTTCAAAATGTTGATTCTGATTCTCTGAGTCTGGGTGGGGTCTGAGTTTCTGTGTTTCTAGCAAGCTCTTGGTGGTACTGGAGCTGGTAGTTCCCAGGGCCAGCAAATAGAAAGCAGAGCAAGTCTGAAGCCGGGGTGCCTGCCTCAGGAATTCAACGAACTTGCCATGTGAGCTTGGGTAAATAATTTTCATTTCTTAAGTTCAGTTTACTGTACAGTAAAAGGATTTGATAAAATAATTTCTTTGGGCCCTTACAGATCTAAAAGGATGTACTTTCTTGTTTTCCTATTTTTAAAACTTTTTGTTTTATGTTGGAGTATAGCCAATTAATAATATTGTGATAGTTTCAGGTGGATAGCAAAGGGACTCAGGTATACATATACATGTATCCGTTCTCCCTGAAACTGCCCTCTCAAAGGATGTAAGTTAGAAAAAAATGAGGGTCACGTTAGGCTTAACAGACGTGACAGAACAGCTTCCTAATTGTTTAAACACCATGTGTTTCCTTGAAGGCAGCATCACAGGCATCATTAGTCGCTGCATTGAATGCTGGGATCTTGACGTGCCCGACAACAGGATGCCCAGCCATCCGCTAAGGACACTAGTGGAGGAAGCTGTAGTGTTCACCCACTTGAAGGCCTCCAGCTTAACTTCTCCTGCCCTCTTGTCTTCAGAGCTGGCCTCGCCAGAGAGTCTTTCTTGATTCTACATGCAGGGCTCAGGCCACCTTCAGAGGCCAGAGTCAGAAGGAAGCATGCATGCTAAGGACCCACACATATAACGTTTGCTTCTGGCAGTTTGCTCAGGAATTCAGATGCAGCTGGAGACCCTGCAGATCAACTGGGCAGGAAATATTCCCAGGATGGTTCGCTTCCCTCTGTCTGAGTCTAAAGACCTAGGAACATCCCACCCCCTGGTCTGGGAGAGAGTGCCCTTCAAGTCTTGGGAAAATTTTGCATAAAACTCTAGTCCAATAGCACAGAGTGCTGTTTGTGACAAACAGGAAGTAATTAATTATTGAGTAACTTTTTGCTCTAGCAAAACCTCTAGCCCAAACCACTTGACCCTTCCAAGGGGTTCTTAGCGGACATCCTTATTGGCTGCATCCGGGGTCAAGTAGTTGATGGTTTATTGAAAATGCCAAAGGGCTGAATCACTGTCGGTAACCATAGATGTATCTTACACATTTTGTTTAAACATGAACTCACCAGTATTTTGTTGTAAAGTCAAGGTCTTTGAGTGTGAACCCTGATTGAAATTCCTTGAAGACTTTCTTGTATATAAAAACACAGCCAGACTTCAATGGCTTTTGATTTCCAGTTTGATCCTTTTAAAGTAGAGTGAGAACCAATCTGTGTGCAGATTCCTTGTAGATCAACAATCCCACTCCTCTTAAACCTTAAAAATTTTCTAGCCCCTGCTTACTCTGGCAACTGTTTTTCCAAGTGACTCATCTCTTAAGGCTTTTCAAAGCCAATCAACTTGGTTTTCAAAGAAATAAAAACTATTTTTGGAACTTATTAGCTTGTGTAACACCTAATTAAATGTCATAATTCTAGTAACAAGTACAGCTGGCATAAACAGACTTGAGAATATAACAGACTTTTCTGAGGTACACAATTCAACTGGTGGGAGAAGCAGTATATACATAGATGTTTTGGAGAATAGCCTAGAAACCAAGTTCTGTGGGCAATGCCCAGTATTATTTACAAAAAAGAGAATATTGGGTAATTGGGTGGATCCACTAGGTGAACATTGGTAAGAGGGCTCCTACTGTATCCTTAAGCCAATATTATCCATTTAACATTTTAACATGATTTTTCTGGTTCCTATTATCTGGCTTATTAGTGTTTATATCTTTTCTGTTTAAATGTCAAATTTTTCAAGAACAAAGATTGCTTTACTCATTGTTTTATCCCAATGTTCATTCAAATAATTGACATAGGTACTCCACAAATATTTGTTAAAAGGATAAGGGTTTTATCATATAAAATCGATTTTATTAAATCTGCTGCATTTTAGATTTCAAGGCATATAAAATTGTATATGACAAACTGATAAACTAGAACAAATTAACTAGGGCAAATGACACTAATTATTATTCTTTAATAACATTAATACATTGAGCACAGATTTGCCCAGAATAACAGAACTTCAGAGCTTGAAGTCACTTTAGAAGTAAGTTGATAGCTGTAGGCATATACAGACACAAAAACAATCTAAGAACAGTGTGAATTTTATTTCATTACTTTTGTTTTTGCCCTTAGCCTTTTCTTTTGATGTTATATTTTCCTCTCTGGTGAAAAGTACTTCCTTCTTGCCAGATTTTTGAAGTGCACAGAATTTTTGGAGTGAAACAGTTTGTTTCAGTGTAATTCATTATTGCCCTGAGGATTAAAAGGTAGCAATGGTCTTGAGCTTCCACTCTCCACTTGTGTAACTGGGTTAAACGAATACCTACTGCAGTGCCATGCAACAGGCACTTGCCCGTCTCTAAGT